ACAGCAAGACCCCGTCTCTACTTAAAAGTATTTTTTAAATTTAAAAATTTTAAGACAAAGAAAAAAAGTGCAGGTTCACTGCAAATCATGACTCTGTAACACTGGAAAAATAGGACATACAGAAGGACAGCATTTATGTCCCTCGGTCAGTCCCAAGAAACCTTTTCTCAACCTTGTTTCCATCTGCATCTCAAGTTGAAAATTCTCTGTGTCAAGGCTGTCTGCACACATGCTCCTTGTTCCCTTCCGCCAATCCAAGGAAACAGGCTTTAGACTACTTACATACACACAGATCGACATTCTAAGATCTGTTACCGAAGTGCTATGCTGACCCTGATTACGGAGAAAGGACTCTGGAGCACTGAAGAGATTAGGCAAGCCCAGCTGCTCTCCACCACAGTTCTTTCTTGGCAAATAAAATAAAATGGTTGGCTGTTTGGGCCTCAAGGTTGCTAATGGGGCCCACAAAATGGCTGCCAGAGGCTCAAAGACCACCTCCCCTCCCCCACAAGACATACAAAGCCTACAGGGAATGTGTACCAGTGGTGCCCTGAACCTGGCAATGCAAAATAACCACAATAGTAGACAAGTTTTATTTTTGAGATGGAGTCTTGCCCTGTCGCCCAGGCTGGAAGTGTGGGGCGTGGTCTTGGCTCACTGAAACCTTCACTACCTGGGTTCGAGCAATTCTCCTGTCTCAGCCTCCTGAGTAGCTAGCTGGGACTACAGGTATCCATCACCAAGCCTGGCTTTTAGTAGACAGGATTTCACCGTGTTGACCAGACTATCAAGTTTTAGAGTACAAAAAGAATGCAGTCTTCGGCCTTGCTCTGACCTTGTAAATCTGAAAATCCCATGGGATGTTTATCTGTAAATATCCTGCATGACTCTGCTGCACAGCCAGGCTTGGGAGGCACTGGGCTGCGGGACTAAAAGTAGGAAGCGGCTGGGACAGCTCATGCCTGTAATCCCAGCATTTTAGGAGGCCCAAGCAGGTAGCTCACCTGAACAACATGGCAAAAACCCATCTCTACAACAAATACAAAAAAAAATAGCTAGGTATGAGCAGTAGTAGTCCCAGATACTCAGGAGGCTGAGGTGGGCAGATCACCTGAACCCAGGAGGTAGAGGCTTCAGTGTGAGCCATAATCACAGACAGTGCACTACAGCCTAAGTGACAGAGGGAGACCCTGTCTCTAAATAAATATATAAAAGCAGGAGGTGAATACCCTCACCTGATGCAACCATCGAATGTGCCTGGCTTGAAAGGGATGCCCTGGCCCATGTCCCCCAGAAGCAGGTCTCCCTCTACCTCTCGGTCCACGGCCTCATCTACATCAGAAAAAAGGCAGTCAGGGAGAGACAATACCCATGGCTTCTCTACACCCATCAGGGTAATCCCCCCTGGTGCCGGACAGGACACACTTACCCAGCATGGCAGGGCTGATATCAAGGCCCACCCAATAGTGCCCTTCATCTGAGAGGTAGCCTCCACTCAGCCCAGTGCCACAGCTGGAAGACACAATTGAGACTCAGGGTCAGTCTGCAAAGACTGACTTCACCACCTTAGACAATCTGAACCAGGCCCCAGAGTCTCACCCAATATCCAGCAGGTAACAGGGCTTATTCCGCGGCAGATAGAGAAGCTCCAGTGCTCGCCCAGCCATCCGGGTCTGGATGTCAATCATCCGGGAGCTGGGAAGGCAGAAACACAAGTGCACATGGTAAAGGAGTTCGGGGTGAATACCTCCCCCAGGCCAAAAAAAAAAGAAAAAAAAAAACGGCAAGTTAAAAAAAAAAAGGATCAATCATTCTGAGGTACCCTTTTCTGATTCCTTCTAAGTTCGGATCAACAAATTCAACTATTTAAAAGTGACCCCAAAATTCCACGTAATTCAGGACCATGTTATTTTATGATAAATTCTCACTGTACCAGCTGCCAAGCTGATGTGTAAAAGCAGATCACTTAGTTAATAAACAAAGACTGGGTATCTGCAACTCTATTAGGCTCTGCTGCTCTAGCACTTGCTGAAAACATTTTCTGCAAGAATTATTCTCCACAGTTTCTCATCTAGAAGAATCAACAATCCACAGAAACCTACAGCAGCACTGCCCATGAGAATAGAATGAAAGCCACATATGGCTTTCCAATAGCCAGTCAAAAACAAATGTAAAGAAACAGGTAAAATAAACTGGAGTCATACTGTTCACCCCATATATTTAATAACCTATTTTCTTTAGCCCATTACGCTCCAAACATCACTTCAACATATAATTGACAAAGTCATCAGTAAGGACAGCGCCTGGTGGCTCACACCTGTAATCCCAGTACTTTGGGAGTCCTAGGCAGCTGGACCGGTGAGCAGCTTACCGGATCCCTGGGCAACATAGCCAAATCCCTCTACAAAAAAATCCCCCAAGCTAGCCGAGACCGTGGTGGCGCGCCTGTAGTTCCAACTACTCAGGAGGTGAGGTTGCAGCACTGCAGCACTCCAGCCTGGGCGAAAGAATCAGACCCCTGTCTCACACACAAAGAACTATCAAGATGACCTCAGCCGTTGTGGTGACCAGTGCCTCTAGTTCCGGCTGCTCGGGAGGTTGGCCTGAGGCTGCAGTCGGCATGGATCACGCCATGGCACTCCAGCCTGGCTGCCACAGAGACCCTGTCCCTAAAAAAAGAAAAGTTAGCCAACAGCTATTTATTTATTGAAGCAGGGTCTCACTCCGTTGCCCAAGCTGGAGTGCAATGGCGCGATCTGGGCTCACCACAACCTCCGCCTCCGCGCTCAAGTGATTCCGCTGCCTGAGCCTCCGGAGTAGTTGGGACTATAGGCGCCTGCCACCACGCCCGGCTAATTTTTGTATTTTTTGTAGAGACGGGGTTTCACCCCGTGTTGGCCTGATTGGTCTCGGAATTTCTGACCTCAGATGATCTGTCTGCCTCTGCCTCTCAAAGTGCTGGGATTACAGGGGCGTGAGCCACTGCGCCTGACCATTTACTGAAATAGAGCTAGTCTCTAAGTAATAAGAGCACGTAAAAACCACAATTTTTTTTTTTTTTTTTTTGAGATGGAGGCTCGCTCTGTTGCCCAGGCTGAAGTGCAGTGGCTAGATCTCAGCTCAGTGCAACCTCCCCTCCCGGGTTCAAGCAATTCTCCTGCCTCAGCCCCCGGAGTACCTGGGATTACAGACGCCCGCCATCACGCCCGGCTAGTTTTTGTATTTTTAGTAGAGACAGGGTTTCGTCATGTTGGCCATGCTGGTCTCGAACTCCTTACCTCGTAATCCACCCACCTTGGCCTCTCAAAGTGCTAGGATTACAGGTGTGAACCACCAAACCTGCCCCCAAACCCTTCCTTTTTGTTGTTTTTTTAAGAGACGAGGTACAGTGGCTCACGCCTGCAATCCCAACAGCTAGGGAGACTGAAGCCAGAGACAATCGCTTCAGCCTTGGGGTTGAACTGCCTTGGGCAACACAGGAAGACCCTGTCACTACAAAAAATAAAAATCATTGGGTGGATCATGAGGTCAGAAGATTTGAGACCATCCTGGCTAACACGGAGAAACCCAGTCCCTACTAAAAATACAAAAAATTAGCCAGGTGTGGTGGCATGCACCTTTAGTCCCGGCTACTAGGGAGGCTGAGGCAGGAGAATCACTTGAACCCGGGAGACAGAGGTTGCAGCGAGCTGATATCAACTGCACTCCAACTTGGGCAAATGAGAGACCCCGTTTCAATTAAAAATATATAAAAAAGAGACCGGGTGCTGTGGCTCACGCCTATAATCCCAGCACTTTCGGAGGCCGAGGCGGGTGGATTCACCTGAGGTCGGGAGTTTAAGACCAGCCTGACCAACATGGAGAAATCCCATCTCTACTAAAAATACGAAAGTAGCCGGGCATGATGGCGTGTGCCTGTAATCCCAGCTACTCAGGAGGCTGAGGCAGGAGAATCGCTTGAACCCGGGAGGTGGAGGTTGCGGTAAGCCGAGATCCCGCCATTGCACTCCAGCTTGGGCAACGATAGCGAAACTCCGTCTCAAAAAATAGTAAGCAGCCAGGAGTGGTGGTGGGCGCCTGTGGTCCCAGCTACGGGGGAGGCCGAGAGGGGCCACCACGCCCGACTTAATTTATTTTTTGGAGGAGAGGGGGTGGGGGGGGGGTGGGTCGTGCTGCGTTGCCCAGCCTGGTCTCAAACCCGAGCTGAAGCAATCCTCCCGCCTCAGCCTCCCAAAGCCCTAGGACTGCTGGGATTACAAACGTGAGCCATCCCACCTGACCTCAACTCTGTAGCTATACAAACTACCCTCTAGGAAATTCAGACAGTACCACACCAACGGCTGTGGTGGAGATTTACTGACAAACAAGGCGCCCGGATCAGCATCCTACGGACATTACTTCCTTCCCCCCACGACGACTGACCCCTCGCCAGTACCCACCGCCCGGCGCCTCTTTCACCACATGCTTAGGACAAGCTTGCACACTCGACTTTGAAAACCACCCACGGAAAGCAGGCGCGATCACCTCTACCTCAACACTGACGTACCGAGGCCCAGACAGGTCGGTAATTTAAAGGTGATTTACCAGAGACCGAAATGGCACCCACCCGGGTCCTTCCCTCCCCGCACCCCCAAATTCTACGGGCTTTCCGAGCAACGCCCGCAACAAGGCAACTTGCCGCTTCCAGACCCCCGAACGCCGCGCAGTACTCGGGCTCCCCTCACTTGCAAACGTATTTCCGGGCTTCTTTCTTGTCATAAAACTGGGAAAAAGAGATAAAGAAATGACAGGTGGAAGAGGAATTCAGACGCCGCGGCCGTAGAAATGGGGTGACCGGTGCCCGCCGACCCCGGAATTTACCAGCTCCGGGGGTCCGCCGTGCTCCGGACGTTGGCCACTAGACGCCATCCTCACTCCTCAGCTGCACGCCTGCGACTGGCGTTTCCCGGAGCGCGGCTTTTATGTCATCAGCCGGCGCCCGCCTAATAATACGCATGCTCCACCCCTCCCCCGCCCTCCTCTTTCCGTGATTGGCTACAGAACGACCAACCGGTGCCTCCCATTGGCCAGTTTCTCTTGCACGGCCTGCGGAATCAATTCAAGATGGCAGCCAAGTGCGGGTTGTGGTTTCCACGACTGTTAACAAGGAGGTTGCTGCAGGCCCGTGGCTTTCTACAACGTTCTGCACCCGGCCTGAGCATAGGAGCGAGGACTTACACCCGGCGTGACTCTTCGTACTCGCGCACAGCGCTCTATGAACTGCTTGGCATCCCCTCCACAGCCACGCAGGCCCAAATCAAGGCGGCTTACTACCGTCAGTGCTTTCTCTACCACCCGGACCGCAACTCCGGGAACGCCGAGGCTGCCGAGCGCTTCACTCGCATCTCCGAGGCCTACGTGGTGCTGGGCAGTGCCACACTCCGTCGCAAGTATGATCGCGGCCTGCTCAGCGACGAGGACCTGCGCGGACCCGGCGTCCGGCCCTCCAGGACGCCCGCAGCCGACTCCGGCTCGCCGCGTCCCCCGCCGCCCACCTCTCGGACCCACGACGGTTCTTGGACCGCCTCTGACGCCAACCGCACGAAGTTCAACTTTGACGCCTTCTACCAGGCCCATTACGGGGAACAGCTAGAGCGGGAACGGCGCCTGAGGGCCCGGCGGGAGGCTCTTCGCAAACGACGGGAATATCTGGCCCTGAACAGCAGTCCCTGGGAGGAGATCCGAGATACGGGTGTCGTTTTCTTCCTCTTCGGAATCTTCATCATCATTATCATTATCATCATTGGCTTTTATATTTTTTAGTGGGAGAAAGGAAGGAAGGAGAGCGTCCCCAGCCAGCCCCCAGAAAACGGCCTTTTTTCCTGCCCCTGAACTCTTGGCCATTGATAGCCTACCTCAGCTGGGATCCGAAGGAACTATGCTCCCCATCCCCTCCCGGACCCACCCAACATAGCCGATGACCTGCACATCCCTTTCCTATGGTCCAGAAAAGGAGGCCTTTAGATGCGTAAGAAAGAGACCCCACGCTAAAGAGTCCCGAGAGCTCACGAGTGAAGGGTTCCTGGAGTCTCTAGGGTGCTTCTTCCAGAAGTTGCCTTCCTGCTTCCAGATGTGGTTAACTTCTGTAACACTCGCTGTAGCTTTATTGTAAAGCCCCGAGCAAGATTTATCTGCTCCTGCCCCGCGTGTGTACGGTGCGGCTCCTCTGTAACCTTGAAATGTGCAATGTGACCATTTGTTGGCTGCCAAAAGGTTGTACCAAACCTTGTCTTTCTGTGAGTTCTCCAAGCGGCAGGTGAGACCTGGTCCAGGGTAAGAATGGGGTCTGTGAACAGCCTGCCATTCCTCCCTCTAAAGTCAGCCCCCTGGGGCACTCCCCTTTCTGTTGATAGCATGTGGGAGTGAGAAAACAAGGTCCCTGAGCATAAGGAATGAGTGTTCGTGGGCCGTATTAATGTGTGACCTTGGAGAAGTTACTCTGTGAGCATGACAGCAGAGGAGAAAATCATTTGACCTTGTTTCGCTTTTGTTTTTCAGACGGGGTCTCGCTCTGTTGCCCAGGATGGAGTGCAGTGGTGCAATCTCGGCTCACTGCAACCTCTGCCTCCTGGGTTCAAGCTATTCTCCTGCCTCAGCCTCCTGAGTAGCTGGGATTACAGGTGCCTGCCACCATATCCAGCTAGTTTTTGGATTTTTAGTAGAGAGGGGATTTCACCATGTTGGCCAGGATGGTCTTCAACTCCTGACCTCAGGCGATCTGCCCACTTCGGCCTCCCAAAGTGCTGGGATTGCAGGCGTGAGCCACCTTCTCTAGCCTATTATCCATAGTTCTAATCTGTGGGGATTACAGCATGACGCTAGCAGGGCCATGTTCATCCTTGGGACAGCGTGGCTGTCACCTGGCCCTCCTTTTACCAGCCAACCCCATTGCACACTGTGCAGCCCATCCCCTCCCAGAAATGGAGTGCCAAACTCAGTGCTTGAGTCTCCGGCTCCTGTTTAACTTGCAGTGCTTATCACAGGCCCGATGTGAATCTTTGAAAGAAGGCTGCCTGAGGCTGGGGTAAACTTTGGGACTTTGGGAGTAGACAGGACTACGGAGGGATGGGGGACTTGCTGTTCAAGGTGGCGACTTGGTTCTTTATGCAGAGCTGACTAAAGGCGTGGTTTCTTTCCCCCCTGTTTCATGTTAAGTAGTTGCTCATCATTTGGTCAGAGCTGCTGCTTAGCTCTCTTAACTGTGAGTCACTGGACATTGGCAGTGAGTTGGCTGTGAGATTGTAGGTGCTCGAGTGTTTACGTACAGGACTGAGTGTAAATCTGTAAAAGGAGAAAATCCTCACAAGAGGTCTACGAGATGGATGAGGGCCCAAGTCTAGGGTCTAAACAAAGCCAGGAGTGGTTTGGTGTATTACTGAGGGCAATAATTGCGTGCAATCCCTGTACTCAATGTGTGGTGTAAAATCCTTATGTAAAATGGGATAAACCCACAGCTGGTCCTGCTTAGCCTCTTGAAAACCATTCCATCATTGTGCCAATCTATCCTGAAAAAGAAAAAAAAAAAAATATATATATATATATATATATATATATTTTTTTTTTTTAATTGTCTCTTGCCTTGGAGAGTGGGGGTATACTCCTAGTCAGGGCTTTGCAGTGACTATATGATTCAGTAATGAAGATCTGGGGCCTGGCACAGTGGCTCACGCCTGTAATCTAAACACTTTGGGAGGCCGAGGCAGATGAATCGCTTGACCTCAGGAGTAGGGAGACCAGCCTGGGCAACACGGCAAAACCCCATCTCTACAAAAATTAGCCAGGTGTGGCAAATGCCAGGTGTGGTAGTTAGTCCCAGCTACTCAGGAGGCTAAGGTGGGAAGATGGCTTGTGCAGTGAGCTGCAATCCCGCTGCTGCATTCCAGCCTGGGCAACAACAACAAAAAAAAGATCTGAGCCCAGTCTGGTTCAGACCTGTTTGGTTCAGTCAGCCTGGACTTGGGGGGAGGGGATGTGTACTTTTTAAAAGAACATTTAATGTTACTATGTTTCATATTTGGAAAACAGGACAGAGTCTTTTCTGGAAAAACAAACTGCACCCAGTGAACTGTAGCAAAATGTTCTGAAGTGGGGCAAGGGTGTTTTGTTTGAAAAGAGGACGGGTGTGGTCGGGCGTGGGTGGTCGGGCGTGGTGGCTCACGCCTGGAATCCCAGCACTTCAGGCTCAGGAGGGTAGATCACCTGAGGTCAGGAGTTCAAGACTAGCCTGGCCAACATGGTGAAACCTCATCTCTATTAAAAGTATAAAAATTAGACAGTCGTGGTGGCGTGTGCCTGTAATCCCAGCTACTTGGGAGGCTGAGGCAGGGGAACTGTTTGAACCCAGGAGGTGGAGGTTCCAGTGAACTGAAATCGCACCATTGCACTCCAGCCTGGGCAACAGAGCAAGACTCTGTCTCAAAAAAAAAAACAACCAAAAACAAAGAGAGGTGTTCTTTTGGCGTGGGTTTGTAAAGCACTAGTGGTCTACTAGCATAGGCTCCTTGAGATAGAAGTTTGTTTTCTCATTGAAGATCCCAGCCAAGAACATTCCCTGCAGGTCCCAGAATCTGGAGTAGATAGAAAGTTCCAGAAGGTTTCAGACTGGCGGTGCGTCCAGACTGAAATAAACTTATGGGGCATTCCATGGAACCGTAAGCAAAGTATTCTGTAAGGTTTACTAATCATCATCCAACCCTCAGCCTCTCCCATGGCCTAGAACAAGGCCCACTCCATTCATAATAAGTCCATTCTTGGGTGCCTCAGGGTTTTGTAGACCAGAGCTAACCTCTCCCTGCTGGCCCTGAAACTGAGCCTGTGCTCTTCATGGAAAGGGAAATGTGTGGAAGGCTTTTTGAAGGACCCCCAACAGGTTTCCATGGAAACATTGCTCTCCCACTCACTCAGATTGGCTTGAGTCTTTCCTTTCTCTGCTGCTTCCCAGCAAGTGGAGGCCGAACTCGGCCATGACCTTAGCCCCTGCCTTCTAGGGGCTATTCCTCAATTCCTGGTTGTAGAGGATGGCTCAGACGTGCCCAGCATTAGTCCTTTTTCTTTGTTTTTGACAAACTAAAACAAAACTCCCTAGAAGTTTGGACCTAGGAAGGGAGAGCAGGGTAAAGGGGCCCAGGCTGTGCTCAGCAGGGTGGGGAGGCGGGTACACGTGTAGCACGAGGCTGAGTAAGCAGCAGGCATGGGTCCTGAATGGGAGAGAGGCCACAAGACGGGAGCCAAAGGCACACACGTCTAGGCAATTGTATTGTCTTTGAGCTTGACTGAGACTTTATTTCTCCTGAGCCAAACTGCTTTTCCTCCTCTGTTGCCCTTTATTATTTAGAGATGGAGTCTTGCTCTGTTGCCAGGCTGGAGTGCAGTGGCCCTATCTCAACTCACTGCAACCTCCGCCTCCTGGGTTCAAATGATTCTCCTGCCTCAGCCTCCCAGGTAGTTGGGACCACAGGCATGCGCCACTACACCAAGCTAATTTTTGTATTTTTAGTAGATATGGGGGTTTCACCATGTTGGCCAGGATGGTCTCGATCTCTTGACCTCGTGATCTGCCCTCCTTGGCCTCCCAAAGTGCTGGGATTACAGGCATGAGCCACCGTGCCCAGCCATGTTGCCCTTTATTTATTGCTGGATGAGATGACCCTTTACAGATCCCAGAGTTGAAGGATAGGGTTCCTCCCACTTCCTTCTGAGGTTCCGGCATTTCATTCATTGGATGCACCTCTGTATGAGCCAAGTTGATTAGGAATAGCTTAGCTTAGGCCTCAGAGCTGTCCTACTGGGTCACAAGTGACTTAGAGTGGCCACCAACACTCCCTTTTTCGGAAATGGGAGAGGTCTGTGTTTCAAACCATTGGGCTTTCTGGAAGGCCACCAGACTCCATGCAAACAGGCCAAGAGAGGAGTGGCTGGTAAGTGGTGGTGCTGTCAGTCCACACCCTGGAATTCAGTGCACTAGAAAAGTTGGCCCTGTCCTGAATTTTCCTCCTCTCAGTTCCTCAGCACTGTGATGAAGTCACACACTGCCACCTGCCCATGGGCAAGATGATGAGGGAAAGCCAGGCATGGTGGCGCGTACCTGTAGTCCCAGCTAATTGGGAGGCTGAGGCAGGAGGATCGCTTGAACCTGGGAGGTGGAGGTTGCAGTGAGCTGAGATTGTGCCACTGCACTCTAGCTTGGGCAACAGAGTGAGACTTCATCTCAAAAGAAAAAAAAAAAAAAACTCCTCTCTACAAAAAAATACAGAAATTAGCCAGGCATTGTGGCACACACCTGCAGTCCCAGCTACTTGAGAAGCTGAGGTGGGAGGGTGGCTTGAGGCCAGGAGGTTGAGATTGCAAGTAAGCTATGATCACATCACTGCACTCCAGGACAGAGCAAGACCCTGTCTCAAAAAAAAAAAAAAAATTTGTCCATGTAGATGAGACATTGCTCCACAGTTTGCTACTCTTCCTCCAACAGAGGTGAAGTGTAAAAGACCTTTTGTCCACTGGCACCATTTTTCCCACAGCAGAAAAACATTTCTGTACCCCATATCCAACAAGAGAGAAAGCAAAAAAGTAAAAAGGGACCATGTAATTTCAGAAAAATAGGGACAGGAGGTACTTCTTGCTGGAAAGGGACTGCTTGGCACCTGTGTCACCTTCCTGGCCCCTGGAGGCATTTGAGTTTGCAAAGTTCTACATCGTCTGTTGCTGCAAGAGCCTGCACTTTATATAGGGAGGTTGAGTGAAATCTTATTTTCACGTGGGACAAGGAGAATCTCTCGAGAGATCTACGGCAATGATAAGCTCTTAGACACGACCAGAGGCCTTTTGGTACAGTAACCCCAGTTCCTTCACTCCATCTTTTGTCTAAAAATCCTTGTATACACTGGGATAAACCGCAGCAAGTCCAACTGGGTCTCCTAGAAACCATTCGATTCTCTAGCTTTGGAGGTCAGGGGCAAGATCTTAGCCATAGCTTTGCAGGAACTACAGGATTCAGTGGGGAAGCTTTGAGCCCACACTGGTTGGAGCCTGCTTAGCTCAGTGAGCCTTGATTGGTTAAGAGAAAGAAAAAGCACATTTAATGTTACTATGTTTCATATTTGGAAACCAAGAGGGGGAAGGTTAGAAAATGTGCAGAAGCTAGTGATTCGCAAATGAGGAGGTATACATAACAGACTTTCTCAAGGAACAAGGATCTCTGTTTTTGTCAAAAAGGG